CAGAGGGAAGTGGGAGTGGGGAGGGCGTTCCTGGCAGCTGGCATGGCCTGAGCAAAGGCACAGAGGCTGGATGTGCTGGGAGAGGGGTCAGGGTGGCATGGGTGTGTCACAGTGAGGGATGAGACTGCGAAGACCTGGACTCTCTGAGTGCCAGGCTGAGGTGTTAGGACTGGACCCTGAGAGCTGTCAGGAGTCATGGAAGGTATCAGAACAGAGGAGGGACTCGGGGAGAGTCAGCCACCAGCAGGATCAGATCAGAAGAATGTTCCTTTATGCACTGGGCCTTTAAAGAGTGCCCAAGGTTTTAGTTTGTAAAAATAAAACCATATGATCACTCTCAGAGGCACATCTTTGGATCACCATCCTATTATTGTCTCTGGATAAATTCTTAGGATTGGGATCCCTGAACCATGTAATTAGCCTATTTTCTCTCTAGGTTAGTCATCTAATGGCACAATTACCATTTATTTGCCCTTGAAATGGATGTCTCTTGCTACAATCATAATAGTGATTAAATAACTCTGTGAACCCAATGCTGGCTGACCTCTTTGCAAACCATTTCTTCTGTAATCCTTGCAGCAGCTTCAGAGGGTTATTACGGAGAACTGTACAATGTAGAAACCACGGCTCAGAGAGGTTAGATAACTTGCCCAAGGTCACCCAGCACGTGAGTCAGCTCTGACTCTGCAGAGAGCCACTGGCTGGGAGGCAGTACTGGGCTGGGAGGGACGGGGGGAGGAGGGGGATTGGGATGACTCCCACTTCACAAAACAGGGACCCAACCACATGTGGTTGTAAAGAGTAAATGAGCCACATTCCAGGAAGTGCTTAGCAGAGGACCTGGCGAACTAGGAGCCGTTCAATCACCCTGGAGGCTTTTGAATCAGCCAAGGTGGGTGCATAGGGAGGTGCTGCCTCCTTGTGGTGAGCCTGAGCATTGCTTGAAGCCGGGGACCCAACTCCCAGCATGCCCCAGGACAAAGGCCACCAGGTCTGGGGGTGGGAAAAGACATCTCTCCACCCGCCCCCACCCCACCCCTGACTACCACCCAATCCCAGCAGGGATCTGCCTCATCCTCTCAGGCCCCAGGAAAGCAATTTCCTATTACACCCAGCATCTGCCACCTTCAGTCTGATTGACCTCTGCATCTGTTTCCCTGACCATCAAATGGGATGTTAGCCCAGTCGCTAAGAACTGTCCCCTGTCCCCTGCCCAGGAAAGATGCAGGCTGAAGAGAGTGCTTCCTGCCTCTACAGGGCTGGAGTGTTTGGGGGAGGCATTCCAGCTCCATGGATGGCCCCCCAGAGTAGAGTTGCAGATAAAACACAGGATGCCCAGTTAAATTTGAATTTCAGATAAACAATGAAAATTTTTCAGTGTACATATGCTCCATGTAATATTAGGGACATGATTATACTAAAGTATTATTTGTTGTTTAAATCAAACCAAAAAAAATCTAATTGTGCATCCTATTACTTCATTTGGTATGTCCAACCCTAGCTCGGAGGGTTCAGTGTAGAAGCTGGACTGGGCTGCCTGGGAGGGGCAACTACCCAATCTCTGCTAGGGGCTTTGGCCTCTCACTTCTGGTCTCACCAGCTGGTGCGGGGACTGTCTGTCATTACTCCTACTTTACCGAGAGGCCATTGAAACTCCCGCTGGCTCAAAGCCACACAGCTGATGTGCGCAAGAAGCTGGGAGAGAGTTGGGGCTGCTGCCTCCAGGAGTGTCCCAGGCCCTGGCCATAGGGGCTCACAGAGGGCGAGGCCAAGGTCTCTACAGGCCATTAGCACAGCCTCCTCTGGGCAGGAGGCTCCCAAGCCGGCCCTAGGGGGTCAGAGGCTACCTTGAGGGGGTGAACTAAGGGAGGAGTGGATTGTAGTCAGAGCGGGGTGAGTCGGCCTGCAGGAGGGGCTGAGGGAGGCTAGAAGGGAGTGTCCCAGTTGGAAGGAGCAGTACATGCGAAAGCCCAGTCAAGAGAAACACGGGATTCAAGGAACAAAAGACAGGATAGCTGGAATGAAGATTTGGGGGAGCGGTGTGGGGGACCATCCAGGTCACGCAGGGCTCTGAGAGCCACCGCAGGGAGTCTGGAGTCTGTTCTGAGCATTTTAAGAAGGGTTTGGCCAGATAGAGCAGCTTGGAGCGGGGCAAGCTGGAGGCTGCCGCCCTCATCCAGACCTGGAGGGGACAGATAGGAGATGTGGTGGCAGACAGAGGACTGGGAAGAGAAGCTTTAGGAGCAAGGGGGAGCAGCCAGGGAAGAGAGGGGCCTGAGCCCAAGCACCTGGCACTGGGGTAGCAGCCAGAGGTGGGAGGAAACCTGTCATCACTGTCAGCGAGCTGGGGAGGCTGCCTGGTATAGGAGGCAGAGGCTGGTCAGGGCCCGGAGAGGCAGGGACAGGGATGGGTCTGGGTGACAGCTGCCAGGGACACCCTGGGACCTCCTACCTGCCAGGGCTCTTTGATGGGGTGGCTGGAGGGCTGGACAAGTTAACCTCACAACAGTCACACATACAGCTCAGGAGGCATCGTCCAGAAGTTCCCACCTAGCGGGAGGTCGAGGATGGAGCAGAGAAGGTTCTGCTTAAGTCAGTCCACCCGAGACCAGGGTGGGGGCAGGAGACCATGGGCCAGACTGCATTTAATAATTTAAAAACATGGAGGCTGTAAAAGGTCAGTAACTTGCCCATGATGTCACAGCCAACAATCTGGGATTCGAACCTGGGTCTGCGTCAGAGTCAAAAGTCTCTATTCCCAACATACCTCATGCTACCCACTCCAGGAACTACTGCAGGAGGGTTGAGATCTTTGGCAAGTTAATCTGAACCACAGGCAATTAAGCAAGGTCATGTACATCAGATGCAGGCTATAGGGTGGGGTGTGAGTACACCCTCACTGAACGTGCATCACCTGTTTCTGTCCCCATGGAAGGAACAGGCCTTCTTGGCAGCATCAGATAGGACCTTTGGGTCCCAGACCAGCAGCTGGCAGTGGACATAAACCTATGGTGACAGAGATGCAGGCCGAGGGATCTTTGGAAGGTGAGGAGTGAGGGGACCCAGACCCTGAGGGCACCTGCTTCCACTCACAGGAGTTAAGGCTGAAGTCCTCGGAGATCTCTCGGGACAGGAAGCCTAGACACTCCAGCTCCGCTGCGCCCCTCAGAATCTCCCAGGCACCCCAAACTCCTGGCAGGCAGCCTGTCCCTACGGGTCTCACCAGTGGGGTGGAGCTACAAGCTTTGAGTGGTGCAAGGAAAACCACGTAGCGAGGCGTGACAGGGACCAAGGAAGGAGTGCAGGTGCCAAGATGCAGGTGGTGGACATCAGGCTGGGATTCCTGCATCACTGCCAGGAGGACATCTGTCTGATTACATTCCTGCAGGAGGCTGTCCTCTGGCAGTCTGACCCAGGCTGGCACGGCCAGAGAATGACCTCAGTGAGGACATGGCCAGCAGAGCCTGTCCAGAAACATCCTCCTGACCTGACCCCCGCCTTCAACCACTGCATCTCCAGGATGGAGCAGGGAAGGGGTATGTGTAGTGGGGGGAGCCTCTCTCCCCAAAGCCAGGCTGTCACAGACCTCATCCCCACCAGCCTGGCCTGAGGATGCCTATAAGCACCTTGTGTGAGCACCTACCATGTGCCAGACATCTGCAAACTTGCCCCCTCGTAATTCTTTACAAGGCAGGGCCACCAGTGGGACAGTCAAGGCTAGAGGGGGCCCACAGCAGGGAAGAGCTAAGGGGCAACAACAGAAGGGGCCTTGGGGCTGGTCCTGAAGGATGCTCAGCTCTGGCCAAGATGAAAAGGATTTCCAGCTGAGGAGCAGTGGAAGGCATGGGAGGGCAGGTGATAGGGAGGGACACGAGGGCTGGGGCAGGGCTGAGAGCTTACACTCTGCCCTGGGTGGCTCCCAGCTTTAAAGACGGCCCCAAGGATGGAAGGTGGAGAGTGAGTGAGCAAGGAATTGGTGGCAGAACTCAGGTGTCTTAGGGATGCAGGTATGGGTGTGGCTCTGGGGGGAGATGGGAGGGTGCTGGGCTGGAGAGGAGTGAGAGAGAAGGCACAGAGGACTGGGGAGTGAGGGGGCTCAGAGAATTTAAGGGAGCCAGGGGGAGCATCAGGAGACTGGGCAGGAGGTCGGGGGGGCTTGGAAAGGGACCTTGCCTGTGTGGGGTGAGAAAGTGGCAGAGAAAGGCCCACCCCACCCCCTCATGGACCCCCAGCTCGGGGGCAGGCCATCAGACTTACCTTGCAGCTGCAGAAACCCTCAGAACCCCCATCCTGTCTCACCAGTGGTCCTGCCTGGCCCCTTGGCCCCCACAAATCCCCACCCAGGTACAGGGCAGCTACTGGGAAGAAGGGTGGAGTTAGACTTCCCGTCTGCACTTGGGCTGTGAGGGGCAGGGCTAGAACTGATCTGCAGCTTAGGGTAGGGCTGAGGGGTCCAGGTCTGCTTCTGCCCTGTGCTCCACACCCCTCCCCTCCTCCCTCCCTCCCAACCCTTGAACTGGCCCAGAATCCGGAGGAATGGCCCCCTCAGCACTCCCAGGCCCAGCAGCTCAGGAGAGGCTCTAAGAAGAATGGGTCACCCCCTCATCCCAGGGACAGCCCCTGGGTCACTCCTTTTTCTCCAGGACTGCTGGGTTCCCTCAGGAGAGTCCCATGTGATACTCAAATGGGGACTGTCTTCCTCTCGGGTCTCTTCAGGCTCAGGTGATATCTGCCCAACAGATTGCCCCCCCCCCGGTGGTGTGAATATTTTAGGAGGCTTGCGGGAAGAGGGCAGTACCTACCCCAAAGGAGGCTGGCAGCACCAAGGTGGAATCCCAGGCATCTGCAGGGGAGCACTGGTGGGCGGGGAGGTACCTGACAGGCCCAGTGCTGGCCACTGTGAGTGATGTGGGGCAGAAGACGTCAGCCGCCACCTCTGAGGGCCCCCAGCCCTGCTCCCCACCACATCCCAGCTCATCCCCAACAGAAAAAGAGAAAACTCAACTTCTTGAGGATTTATTGGACCGGGAGCTGTCCTGCCTTCCAGCCAGGCCCCAGCAGCCCCTTCACCAGGAAGGGCTGACAGAGACTCCATCCTCAGGGTCCTGCTACTGCATTCCTGCATTTCCCCCAGTGCCTGCTGCTCCTCCGTCAACCACGCTGCCACAGGGTGACCCGGCCCAGCTGGTGGGAGTCCTGGGTCCCCAGCTTGCAAGTGATCTTGGCCATATCTCTTGCTTTGTCTGGACCTCAGTCTCCTTACCCTCCATGGGAGGATGTTACTTGCCTGTCAAAAGACAGAGCTGGGACCACCAAGAGTCCAGTCCGGCTCAGTATCGCAGATTCCATGAAAGCAGATGGGGTTCAAGTCCTGTCTGTGAGTCACTGCAGCTGCTGCTCCGAGGTCCTTGTCTCTCAATTTCCATCCAGCTTAAACCCATTCAGGTGCCAGGGCTTCAGACCCCAGGGAGCCAGGCATCCACATCCCCTGGCAGGAGGAGGGAGTTGGAACAGAGCAGGGATGAGCCAACCCATAGGCCAGGTACCAAGGTGGGGTCAGGAGGAGCTGGGCTTCTCCACTGAGGGGTAGAGCTTGCGCAGGCTGGAGTCCAGGAGGAAGTCCACTGACCTGTGGGGCAGTGGAGGGCCATGAGCAGGCGATCAAGGGATGCTAATGGGGGAATGGGAGGCAGGAGGTCAGGGCTAGGGAAGAGACTCCTGGACACAGGATACAAGTGCCATCCAGGTGGTAGCCATCATCCTCTTCTTTATTCAGTTGGGAAAACTGAGGCACAGGGAGGGTAAAGACTTCTGCAGGGCCTCAGGGTCAGCTATGTTCCCTTGGGGAAAGACTCCTCTTCCCACTCTGTTGGTCAGATTGGCCCCTTCTCTGGTACTAAGAGCAGGCACATGACCCAAGCCCGGCCAATCAGGAAAGGGAAACTTGTTCAAGGGTGGGCACCCAATCCAGGATGGACCAATGGCAGATTTCCTTGGGATTTTTGCTGTGACTATTAAGCTTCTTATGGGGTTTGCTAAACTGGTAGGAGGGAAGCTGGGAGCTGCTGGGAGCCACCTCTGCTCCCATAAAAGGAAAGTGAGTGAATCAAACATGGGGTGAGGTGGGGAGAAGGGCAGCAGGATGGGGAGACCCAGACCCCTAATGACATTATTTGGGAACCTAGATCCAGATATGCCTAAAAGTAGCATAACTCTAGACTTTGCAGTTTCAAGAAACAATTCTTATTTTACTTAACCCAGGTTCAGCTGGGCTTCTCTTGCCAAAACTTCCCCAAATCCACCCCCTCCAGGGTGCACCTGTTCCTTCCTGCCTCTGGTTGTTTTCTAAAACTGGGTTTTCCTTCTGGGAATGTACTTGTCCTGTATCTCATACTCTCAAGGCACCCCCACCTTTATTGCCAGAGCACCTGCCAGTTCATATATCAAGGGCATAGGCTGTCCTTTCTCCCTCAGGAGCCCCAGGTGCCAGCCCTGCCCCTGCTGCTATTGTTTTGTGAAAAGTGGGTACAGCCCACACCTCTCAAAGCTTATCTCCACCTGTAGGGTGGATGATCCCGAGGCTGGGAGGGGCACCTACCTGTCAATGGGGTGGATGATAATGGGGATGACCAGTAGCCCCAGTGCGGTGGTGGTCCACTTGCGGACAGCCAGAGGCCAGCGGGTGGCAGTGCCCAGGACGTAGAGAGAAGCAGCACACACACGGTTGATAGTGAAGCCTGGGATGGCCACAGAGGCCAGAGCCTGCCACATGAAGGTGTCCACCACGGCCACGGTCACCCTGGTGCTGCGGCCTGCCTCAGGGCTCGGCATCTGGTAAGCACAAGAGACACTTCATCCAGAAGGGGCAGAGGTGGGAAAGCTTGTGGACAAGAGGCATGAGGCTGGACCAGGGGGAGGGAAGTGAAGGGGGTGGGGAGAGAGCCACACTAGTGTTGGGTTCTGGACTTGACCAAAGCAGGGCTGAGGGTGGACTCGTTCACAACCAGGACTGGGATAGAGACTATGCCACATGCAGGGCGGGGGACAGGGTGCACCTTCTACATATGGGACTGGGGTATTGGACTGTCCCGCAGGGACTTAACCACATGCAAGGCTGTGGACTGACCACAGTGGGAGTGAACTGGGGTGGGGTTGAAGGGCAGGTTAACACTCACATCTCTTGCCTTCTTGCCCTTGTCGATGGCATCGGCCAGCACATAGGAGCTGGACACACCATAGCTCAGCCACACAACAGCTGCTGGTACCAGGGAGCGGAAGGCCTCCCCTACTTCATTGGCGTAGCCTGGTGGGGAGGGGACGTTTAATTCCCAAGCCCGTGGGTTGTTCCACGAGGTGACACTGGAGGAGCTGGTTCTTAGCCTGCCAAGCAGTAACTGGGTGACCTTAGACAAGTGATTTTACCCCTCTAAGCCTTTCTCCTGGCCTATAAAATGGCACCCATGATGCCCACCCCGACTCTCCCCGTGTAGGAGAGTTGAGTACCGCCACCTTTCTCATCACTCACTTGCCTTCACAGACTGGGTTCTGGGAGCATCTGAGCTGATGGGAGAACAGGCAGTGAGAGAGACTCACTAAAGGCAGCCCCACTCACCATATGCCTGGCCTCTCTGCACCTTATCTCATTCTGCCCTCACGATCACTCAGTGAGAGAGACCCTGTGCTCATCCCTTTTTGCTAAGTTGGAAACTGAGGCTCAGACAGAAACAGGGAGAAGCCAAGATGGGAGTCCAGATACCCTGACTCCACAACCACTGCCCGGGCATCCAGAGAGGGCAGTCAGCTCACCCTGTTCCTCCCAGCTGGGTTGCAGCTCCCGCCTGGGAGATAGACCAGCAGACCCGGAGGGCAGGGCTGGGTAGACCAGAGCTGTGTGACCTTGAGCAAGTCCAGAGACCTCTCTGAGCCCAGTCTCTGCCCTGGCTGAATGAAAACTAAGATCCTCCCACCTTCTCCAGGTCCCTGAGCGGCGTTTGGCAACCCCTCCTTCCCCAGCCACGTGATGTGGGGTCGCGGTGCCCCTCGCCAGCGCTCACCCAGGTACCGCACCCACGTGTCCCGGAAAAGGTCGCGCTCGGCCCCCCGCGGGGGCATCTCGGACATGGCGCTTCCGCTTCGGCCTCAGCCACTGCAGCGGGTCCTACCGCCTCGGCTTCCACCAGCCCTGCGGTCCGTGGCGGCGGGACCGGCCGAAGGTCCGGGACTGAAGGACAGGTCGTGCTGTCCCCGCCAGCAGGGAGCGTCTGCAAATTCCCCCGCGCACTGGCACCCCTTTCCAAGGCTTGCGTTTTGCAGATTAATTTTCTTCATGTCTTCTCTGGAATTGAGTGATCCTCTTCCAGCACTGACTGTAGCGCTGGAGCCAAAGAGACAGAGGTTCAAATACGAGATGCTGCATTTCATAGCTGTGTGACCTCGGGCAAGTCCGTACTTTTCTGAGCCTCTCTTTATTCATTTGTTACATGGGGAACAGGACAGGTTCATTCCTGGGATGGTTTCGCGGATTGATTATACAGTCATCATTTGTTGAGTTTATACTACTGGCCAGACTGTTAGCCAAGGACTCTAGTCGGATCTCTTCTTTAAACCCTCCCACCAGCCTGGGACATCCCCCCACCCTGCCCCATTTTATAGATGAGGAATAGAGACAGGAAAAATAGGTCACTTTCCTAAGTCATACAACTGCTGAGTAGAGAAGCTGGCATTTGATTCCAGGTAGAGCTGCTCCAATTCCCATGCTCTTTAGGTGAGTTCAGTATATGAGGCTAGGGAAGCAAATGGTGAGCATCCTGGTGAGGTGGATGCTTGGATGCCCCTTCCTGGCAGGTGCCATTGCTCATCTGTCTAGCACGGGGGTTTAACTGGACCGAGCCTCTTGAAAAAAGAACTTTGAATGAATGAATAAATGAATGAGGCTGGGGTACAAAACTTGAGGAAAATGAGCAGAACAGAATGAAGAGACTTGGGGTTGATTACTAAAGAGGAAACTCTTCCTCTGCTGGACCTCAGTTTACCCACTATAGCTCTGTGAATCCTTTGGGGGTATAGGCGAGCAAAGGCACGGCCTTTAATGACAGGCAGTCCTAGGTCCAAATCCCAGTTGCGTCGCTTATTAACTGTCGGCCACGTCTGTGAAAAAATTAGAGTATCTAATATTTACTTAGCGTATACTTGTAAGCTAACTGCTCTGCATGATATTTCTTTGAATCTTTGCAATTACCCAAGGCGGTAAGCACAGGGCTTTTGCGTGGTACCCAGTACGCGCTCACTAAAGAAATTTATTATCATCAAATAAAGATCATAGGCTCCCTACAGAGGGCCCTTGTTTGCAGCCCTGGGAGTCTATCTTTGTAAGATCCTGTAGTACAGCCAATTCATCGGTAATCTTGCAGGAAGTTGGGCTAGGGGGCCTAGGCGATCCCTAGCCCCGGAAACATTGGCAGTGCCTGCGCGTAATTAGGAGACGGTCCCTAACGCCACGTGATTGCCGCTTCTCTGCCACCCTCTTACTCCAGGCCCACCGCAGGCGCTGCGCGCGCTCGCTAGACCCGCGCTTATTAGCGAGCTTTGAGAAGCCGGAGTGGGGCGGGGCTTCCGCCCTAACCGTGAAGGCTGTCAGGAACACGCTTTGCCCTTAGCAAAGATGGCGGAAGACAGTCGACAAGTGAGGCCAATCAGGAAGCCTTCCGGCGAGTAGCGCCAGCGAGTAGCAGGTGGTTTCTGCTCATGCGCCCCGCTTATTGGCGGGTAGGCGCTGGGCTCCTGAGGCGGAAGTTTGGCCGAGTGAAGGACAAGCACGAGCAAGGCGGAAAGCATTGACTTCCACTCCCTGCGCGCTGATCGTTGCTTTATTCACTGGTTAATTTTCCTAACAGACCATTGTAAACCTAAGTTAGGATGTCCTCCTGAGGAGTCTGGGAGAGCCCGCGCGGCCTCGTGCCCTCCTGTCAACGCCAGCCTTGCCCCTGCCCCCGCTCCTTCAGCTTCGCCAGCTCATCTCCCCAGGCTGGGCCAGGGCCTGGGTTTCTGAGGGGAAGGAATTCCCGCGAGGGCTCGGGTGGGGCCACTTTCCTGGGTCCCGGGCAGCCCAGGGCCTGGTGTTCGTTTGCAGGATGTGAAATTAGGTTGAGAGCTGATTGCGCACAGGGTCCGTGCCCTCTAGCCCCCGGTCGCTGAGCGCCTCCCCATGGCCATCCCTGCTTGTTACAGTGGACGGAAGGGCTGGGGACCTGCGACGCTCTTTGTGGCTGCTCCCAGCCCCTGGTTCTGCCAGTTGCTTGCCTGGTCTTTGGCTTCCTGCCGGGCAGCCTCCCCAGCAGGCACCAGGAACCCACTGCACCCATCATACGCCTCCCAGAGACGGGACTGCTAAGGCCTTGCTCGGGTCAGCCAGGAAGCGGGCTGTTGGCACCGTGGGAGACTCAGCCTGGGAAACTCCTCCACTGAGATCTACTGTCTTGATCCCCCTTGTCATTTTTGTGTAGGGTGCTGAAGTGGAGAGTTACTTGGTGAGAGGCAGGCAGTACTGAAAACAGGAGTGGAAGCCTCAGGACTCAGACCCACCCCCCAGCCTCCTTGGCCCTTCACAGACCTGGGATCCTGGGAGGTAACTTCCCCGTGCTTTGTTTGCATTGGAGGACAGTGGCTGGGTACCAAAGTTCACTGCCCCAGGAAGCTCTGAGTCACGGGCAATCACTAGTAATTAAAGAGGCAGCCAGAGAGACCCAGGAGTTGCTGAATTCCTCAAGGTGAGGGAGAGGTCTGCCTGTCTGCCTCTGAAAGGGAAGATCTATGCCGACTTGGGCCACCTCCCGAGACCTGGGTAAAGCCAAAAAAACCCAGCCTTGGTAGTAGGAAGTCCATAAGAGCCTCTGACCCCCACCATCATTAGCAACTGGCCATCTTGCTACTCCTCATTATGATCCAGACTTAAATGTTTACTAGGGAGCAAGTTCCTCCCCTGCAGCTGGCTTCCCTGAGGTGTTAGGTCTCAGTCTCTCCCCTTTTCCTAATTTCGTTCCTGCTGCCACCCCATGGTACCCCCTTTCCTGTCTCAACTGTCACTGGATAGGTGAAGTTGGCACAGCTTACAAGATAGACTCTGCCATGATGCCCAGCCCCACAGGAATCCTTAGTAATTTGAGAGGTAAGGAGACCCACTCCAGCTACTCTCCCTCTTCCTAACTCTGAAATGAAGGCTCCCCATATCCAGCCCCGAGGTCTTTCTTCTAGCCCAGTTTCTCTGGGCATCAGAGTGCTGGGAAGATGACTGCTACAAGGGGTAGAAACTGACAGGGAGACACCGAGGGAGCCAGGCCTGCTGTGGGAGAAGGCATTACTTTGGGGTGACTGCCCCCAGCTGTTTCATCTTCTCTTCTGAGGCTTTGTCTGGAAGCAGGACCTCCACAGTGAAACTGACCTTCTTTGCATGAATGAAGCTGTAGGTGTTGTCAAACCGCAGGACATCTGAGAGGAGGCAAAAAAAAACCCGGATATTCAGGCAGTTCTGACAAAGAACTTAGAGACAGCGATTTCTGTTGAGCAAGGCAGTGTAGTAGGTAATGAGGATGAAGGTGGCATAAGCAATGGTCCTTCACCTTCTGACACCTCGTCTAGCTGGGTTATAAGATGTTCATGGAGAGAAAAAAATATAAGAACACGCCAAGTGCCAGATGAGAGACCGAGAAAGTCATAGCTGTAACAGCTCAGAAGGAGGAGGCCCTATAGACAGAAATCATGTGAAAGGCTTTTTAAAGGAGTCAGAGCTTGAACCCAGTCTTGAAGGCGGCTGAGTGTTGAATGAGTAACGGCAATGATTGTCATAATAATAATAGTAATGGTAATAATGGCTATTTATGTGTTTCAGCACTGGGTTGGCAATCTATATATGTCACTCACAAGAACTCTTGAGTTCAGCATTGGTCCTATTTTATATAAAAAGGAAGTCACTGTGTCACACAGTGAGGAAGGAGGGAACTGGGATTTCCCTCTGGTCTGCACTGCTGCCTGACTTGGGCCCTGGAAAGCCCAGCTCTGTTCGGTTTCTGACAAAAGGTAAAATAGGCAAACATTCTGAATCAGGAATTTATCCCACAGAAGGAGAAATGGACAAAGATGCTCAATGCAATAATAATAACAGATGCAGGAAAACTCAAATGTTCAAAGGAGAGTCTCTTTAAAAGTTTTCATTGCAATCCATATGATGAAATAGTATTCTGTATCAAAAGAAAGACGTTAGCTTCATAAGAAGTGCCAGGGCAACTGTCAACAACCCAGCCTTAGGCCAAGAAAGCAAGTTGCAGAACAATTTGTAAATAGTTTCTAATTTTTTTGTTAATATATGTAAAAAAAATTTGGCCTTTTCTATCTACACTGACAAGTTTTACAATTTCAAAATTCCTTCAAATATACACTGAATGACAGATATAATTCCTATGAATGTAAATGTGTGTGTACATATCCTGTATTTTATGGAAACATGTAATGCTTCTAAAGGGACGGCAAATATTTGGTAGGGTAACAGGCAAGACCTGTTAGTGGTTTCCTCTGGGGAGAGAAAATGGGCATGCAGTTGCTAGAGAAGGCTTCCAAGCCTTGGCCAAGGAACAGACTGCTTTCAACCTAACCTTTGTGTTTTTGAGAAGTTGTTTCATGTCAGTCAGACCCCCCTTCAAGAGAACAGAGTGTGAAAACGAAAACAGTAGGCCTGCCCCTTCCCTATCCTGGTCTTCTCTCACTTTTCCCAGCCCAAGACCAAAAGCCAAAAACACTGTATATTTAATCCTAAGACTTAATCCTTCTCCTTTTCTGCCCTTGGATAAATGCATAGTTTAGACTGAGAGTAGACACACCACCCACCCTGTCTTCATGGTGTGAAGTGAGGAATAGTCATTGATTTTCTCTCTGTGCCAAGGTCTTTCAGGGCCAATGGTGCCTCTGGAAAGAGGGAAGCTTCCTGTCTGCCCTGGATGACGGAGCGTTAGCAACCAGTCAGTCCTGCTAGAGGAGAAGTCTGAGCTCCTTGGGCCAAGCAGCAGGACTGCGATGGCTCTGCCTAGCGGGACAGTCTGTCCTCAGAAACAAGGAAGGGGCTGTTCTGAGGCCCATGCCCGAGGGAAGTGGCGTTCATGAACTGTGGAGGTTCGTTCTGACACTAATCATGTACTCAGAGACTCGGGGAGCCCCCGGAGATCCTCCAGGGCTCCTTCACTTTTGTTGGGGAACTGATCCTCTTGAGAATCTGATGAAAGCATACAATTTCAGATTCCATGGAGCCCACCTTAGACCCTCTGGGGTAGTGGTTCCCGGGGGGAAAGCTACCATTCTGAAGAGACAGGTGCTGGTGTAACTCTGCCTTCTCATTTATGTCTTGAGAAAATACATATATATATATACTAAATTAGCTTCCTTTTATTTCTTGTTTATATTCCAAGTAGGAGAGTATACTGACTTCTTAGTTATGTATGTAGGTGGGTTTTAATACCTGTGAATTTCGTTTCAGAATAGTAGAGACATGAAACACTATTTACTATAAAAGGGAGGTGTTTGGTCTTTAAGATTTAGTTATCACTGCTCTGGAGAGTCACAGACCCCGGATTAACATCTCCTGCTCTAGCTCACTCCCCTCGTTTTAAGGAAGAAGAGAGCAAAATCTAATTATGTGGAGATACTTGTTCACTCGTAGAGTAACTGGCAAAGCTAGACTCAGAAACCAGGTCTCCCAGGGCCCAGCTGGGCTGTTCAACCTTCACACAGCGCTTCAGCTCCGCTAGACCACACTGTGTGCTCTTGGCAGACAAATTCTTGGCAGACAAAGTCCAGATCTCTTTTTCTGAATCTTTTTCTTTCCTAGCAGGGTATTCTACACTTAGGACCTCGGGAAATATTAGTTGGGAGAAGAAAAAGTGAAATCACTTCAAACTTTGGTTCTCCTCCTCAGTAACTGGGTGTGGTTGGGCCAGGACCAGAGCGGCCCTGGAGGGTTAAGGCGATCTTGCCACTGGAGACTGGTGCAGAGTTTTAATGTCTCCACTGGGTGATTATGTTCCACTTTACAGGGGGGCGCCTCATTCAAGGGCATCACCGCCCTCACCCCCCACAAGTGAGCCTGTAACCTAACTCTGGGTGCTTACTGGGCTCAGGTCTAACCTGAGTCATGGCCCAGAGGACAGCCGATCCCACCTCACTGTCTACACCTGGGAAGGGGACATGGATGCTGGGGTCTGCCTATGCTCTTCCTGAGAATGGACAATAAGCAGCTCCCAGGCGAGGCCCCGCAGGCAGATACACATTCCATTTGGGAATGTACCTGAGAGGAACTAAAATTTGGCATTTGCAAACATAAGCCTGATTATGCTAAAAGGTTCACGGTCCTACATGGTACTACAGAGACGTAGCAGGCAGTGCTGGAAAATGGATTGGACTTGGCTACTGATTTTGGGTAAATTATTTCCCTGGTCTGAGACCCCGCTCTGTCCTCTGTCCCAACTCTAATATAGACTATGGCCAGGAGCTCCTGCACCAGGACCCTAGGATTCTCTCGTGTCTTATCTCTTGGTGTCTGTGGATGCTCCATTGGGGGAGCAATAACATCCCTTCTCTATAACTCAGCTTCCCCACCCATTAACAAAGAGAAAGTGGAGCTTCTGTGGATGACAGTGTCTGGGCTGTTGCTAAGCTTTGCTCTCGATGAAGCCCACAGTACACGCCTTCTCCCTCAGGACCTGGCAGCTCGCCAATGAGAATACTTCTCCTCCCTGGGGAGCCAGACCACAGAGCATCTGTGAGGAGGGGGCGGTAGAGACTGAAGGTTGCCTGTGATGTGGGGGAGGCCGCAGGATCTGAGGCTGGGGTGATGGTGTGGACAAATACAGAGGCTGAGACATTTGTGGCGCTGGTTCAGACCTCCTGGTGGTGCTGCCGTAGAAATGCGGCGTGGGGCTTCTCGCATCTCTAGCCCTTCTCCTCCAGGTCTTGCCCTAACAATGACCACGCTGGCCACAGTGTGCTGAGTGCTGTCTGGCAGGCATTACACTAAGTGCTGCACAGACCTTATCACGTTTCATCATCAGGTGTCCCTGTGAGGTAGAGAATTTGATCCCCATTGTAGCAATCAGGGAACTGAAGCTCAGGGAGGCTAAGTCACTTGCCTAAGGACTAGACAGTGGTCAAGTCCATCTCAGATCAGTGATTTTCCATGCCTGGCCCCTTGGCTTGGACAGAAAGGAAACCGGAGATTTGATGAGGGTTTCATGTGTGTGTATATGGTTTTTCTGCCTATAATGTAGTACAAGATCTTTGTAAAATTAACTGTATTTGCAGAACCAGTAGAAAAATACAAAAGCCCTCTATAAGCCTCCTAACACCCTAGAGAGAACCACCATTAGTGTCAGCATAGAGTCCCCAGAATTCTTTTCCCTTTCTTGTAACCAAAGTATACTATATAAGCTATGTCTCATGCCTTATTTTTTTTATAGCATATTAGTTTATTCTCTTTAATGGGTATATTGTATATTGTATTCCATTGTATGGATGGGCCACGATTTATTTAACAAGACCTTCTTAAGACCATTTAGCTTATTGCCAGCTTCCCAAGCTCCTGGGAACATCCTTGTACCTGTATCTTTGAGTCTTTTTATAAATATTTCTGTAGGATAAATTTCCAGAGATAGAATTGCTGAGTCAAAGGGACTTTTAATCGATACTGCAAAGCAGAGCAAGGTTAAACAGCTTTCCGAATGCCGACTTGCCAATCGTTACTCCTCACAGGTAAACTTGCTGTTCCTGTTCTGTGCCCCTTTTTTGGATCAATCTGGAGATGAGTGAAGCTCAGCAGAGTCAAGGCTGGGCTTGTCAGCACTCTGCCCACCTGTGATCCCGGTGCCTGCCCAGCCAGTTCTGCCTCTCTGCCATCTGGGGAAGGGGCATCCTCAAGAAATGTCTGATGACAGTCACAGAGCCAGCCAGAGCTGGACCGGAGAGCAGACATTCTGAACCCCTGTGACCACCCAGCCCTGTGACTCACCTATGCCAGGGAGTATCGCTCAGCGTCCTGCCCTGCTCTTGACTAGCTCGGCCACCTTGAGCTGGTCATCTCACCTGTCCAGACTGAGGTGTCCTCATCTATGTAAGGAGAGGGTGGGGCTGATGGAGCTCCAGCCACTTCTAGTTCTAAGAGTCTGAGAGCCTAAATCCGTGGACAAAGAGGGACCTCTCAGGCAGACTGCTAGGGCAGGGGCTTCAAGCCAAGACAGAGGTACTTACAGATGCCAGGATCACTGCAGGTGAGGGTCCCATCCTCAGGGACGAGGTGGGCATTGTACCTCTGGTTGGCCAGCACCTCTGTCATCTCCCCAGCCCGCTGCCGCTCCCCCATCTTGGTCTTCAGGAAAATCCCGAAACCGATGTCCGAACCATCCGACATGAACTGCCACCTGCAGGGCACACCCACCCATTTAGACCCGATTCTGTCTGCGTGTGCCCTCTCTGGGGTCCTGCCAAGAGGGCTTCCCCTACCCCAGCCCATCTACCAGAGCCTACGGCTAGAAGGATCAGGTCCTCTGGAAGGGTCCAGAACCCTACCTGAGGACGCAGCCGGGGAAGAGGATCTCATACTCCACTTGGTGGGAGGAGCCCCGGGAAATCTGCACACTGTGCTCATACTGCTGCTTCACCTGGTCTCGCACGTAATACTTCTTGGGGATGTCGCCCCCGTAGTTGATCTGGAAGCAGAGCATGGAGTGAGCCGGATGTGCACTTGAGCCAGGTGTCCCTGGTCACCTCCAGCCCCTGGCAGCCCATACCTTGGATTTACACTTGGGGTTTCCATCAGGGTCAGTCATGGTGCCCCCATACTCCACGGGCAGCTGGTCAGGGCTGACATATTTCAGTAAAACCTCCTTCCAGTTCGCTGGCAGGAGAGGGAAGGAGGGAGAAGAAAGAATCACCACAGGCAGAATTTCATCACAGCCCTGGAGGGCTGCACAAAACAGGCAGGAAAAAACCCTGTCCGCCCCTGCACACACAACACAGGCATTGGGAGCACATGGTGTACACAAACTCTGCAAGGGGGCTGGAGAGGAGCCGCCACCCAGGGCTGCCCTGCTCTGGACCAGGAAGCCGGAGACCTGGGGTCCTGTCCCCACGGCCTCTGGCCAGCTGATCAACCTGAGGCAAATCACTTCATTCTGAGACTAGTGCCTCCTGCCCTGCAAGGTTACGGTGGGAGTGAAGTCAACTAAGTATGTGAAGAAGGTGTTGTAAACTGTAAAGTGCCCTACCTGTATGAGAGTGTATTCTCACTCCCAGGAAGGTGATACAAACACCTGAAGTGCAAGCAGAGGGGACAAAGAGAGGGAAGGACATTCCACGCAGAGGGAACAGCACATGCGTGCGGCAAGCAAGAGGACCTGAACCAACATGGTCTGCCTGAGTTAGACTGAATGTGACGGCACGATCGTGTGTCTCGTCCCCCACTGTCACCCACTGTGCCCAGTCATGATTTAATGAACTCATCACTGTAGAGTGACCCCTTAAACAGGGTCCCTTGGCTTTACCCCAGCCACAATTTCACTTCTGCTTTCGTTTGGCCACCAGTGATTTGGCTCGTTTTTAAATAACCAAGCCCTTTCCTGGCTAGGAGGGTTTGACTCAAGGGCAACCAATGCTGACATCCACTTCTGTGCCATTCCAGATTCCTAAACAAGTATCAGCCACGGACAGTATTTCGATGCTGGAAACCTCTCCATGCTGACTACAGAGACCAGATATGGGCAGCAGCTCCAAGTCCCGGAGTACCATCCGCCTCCTCTGTGGCAGGTGCTGCCTGGAAACCCACAGGGATGGGCCAGGGTCTCCCAGCCCTTAGGTTTCTGGGGACCTGCGACCAGGCAACTGCAGGGACATCGTGCCTCTTGTCTCAGGGTGCTTGCATCTGTGCTAAGCTCCAGTGACCAGCCCAGGGTGAATTTCTTCCTTCCTCTGTTGAAGATCTGTACCTTCCAAGCCCAAGGCGGGTTTGGTTGAAAGGGTTTCAGGTGTGGGTGGGGGAACAGACTGAACCTCCTCCGCAGCTTGGCTGCCAGGAAACCAAACGCGCTCATTCTCGTGGTGGGTGGCAGCCTCAGAAAAGCCAAAACTCATCAGGGCCTTTCGCTCAGATTTTGTGTGTCATCCCCCAGCTCAGCTGGAGGGTTGGAACAAGGCCAGGAGGACTCCTCCCATCTTATAGAGAGAGGACTGAGGCAACAAGGGGCAGAACTTGCTCCAGAGCCAGAAGAGGTGCCCAGAACCCCGGGCTCTCCAGACTGCCTTGTGCCACCCGCAGGGCTCAGCACATATCTGGAAAACTGCTACTTTCAGTGCGGTGCCTAAAGGTGAACACTCAGAAACCAGAATTTCCTGCCTCCGAGTTCAACTCCACGGGTGGCGCTAAGCCGTCCCGGAGCTGGTCGCAATCTGCCTTTCTAGGCTTTTCTCCCACCACTCCATGTCGTGCTCCAGCAAACCTCGAATGCTGTCTGTCCCTGGCTGGCTTGAGTCCCGTGTGTCGTCTTCATTGGCTCTCCCTTGTCCCCTGATGTTCTCCTGGCTTCCCTGACTAGCCAATCCCTGTCCACCTGCTTCCCCGCCAACCTTGCCAGTCACTTCCCCTTCTCCCTCGGGGGGTTCCTTTTTCTCTGACTGCCCTCGAGCCTGGATAGCCCCCAGGTCCAGCCTCTGTCCTGTGGGTCTTATCTCCTCCCAAGGGTTTAGTTGCTGCCTCTCTCTGGTAACTCCCAAATCTCCAGACTGGAGTTCGCTCCTAAGCTTCAGGCCCAGATCTCCCCAGCTCACAGTATCTGTGCATCCCACGGACTCCTCAAACCCAACTTCAGGCTTATCCTTCGTTCCCCAGTCGAACTAACTGCATCAGTGTGACGGCAATAGTCACCCATGCCAGACACCAGGGAGCCATTCGAGATTTCTCTTCCTCCCTTCCCACATCCAGTCAACTGAGCTCTGCTCCTCCGCTTCCTACAGAAGTCTGAAATCCATCTCTCCTATCCCTACCGCCCCCGCCCTGGCTCAGGCTGGCAACACCTGGTGCGTGGACTGTGGCCAAGGTGTGCAAACTGGTACCTGTCCTTCACAGTCTCACCAGTACTCCCCGGCTCAGAGCTCTTCTCTGGTTCCCAGGGGCCTGCAGAGTCACATCCCAGCCTCCCAGCACAGTGCCCTGGACTCTCTGCGACCTGGCTCCTGGCGCCCGGCTCCCTCTCCATGCCATCTCTTTCCTCGCCCTGCCATGCATGCCAGCTGCCCATGCCACAGGGTGTAAGGTCTTTGCTCGAGGCTCTTCCTTCTGCCCAGTAGCTTCTTGCCTGGCTTCTCTTGCTGCCCTGCTCATTCCAGATCTCTCAGCACCGGGAGGCCTCGCCCCCTCCCCAGGTCAGGCCGGGTGAGTTCCCTGGCTCAATGTTCCCACGCGCTTTCCGAGTCCTCTCTTTGACACTGGACATCTCACGCTGATACACGTCTGTTTGTGTCTCCCTCCCCGAGAGGCCACGAGCTCTGCAAGGGGCCCCGTCTTAACCATTGCTGCCTCGGCACCTGGTCCAGGGCCTGGCAGACAGCAGGTGCCCATCAAGTGAAGCCATGCATCCTTGCCCCCACCTGAAAGTGACCCCTGCTCCTGTGACCTCCATGGCACCTGCTCTGTGCCACGTCCGTGCCTTTTCTAGAGTCCTAGCTTTCTCTCTAAAGGTCTCTCTCCCATTTCACTGCAGCTTCTGGAGGGCAAGGACTGGTGTTTCATTCATCTTTGAATTTCTTCCAGAGGGTCTGAGAGAAAGAGTTCTTAGGAAAACAGGCAGGAAGTCCCCTGCTCAGCCCCAGCCTGCTCCTGGGTCCCACCGCTACCAAACCAGCAAAGGGAGCCTCCATCCGGGCCGCTGTGGCCGCATCTCTACGGCCATCCCCAGCTGGGCCCCAGGAGTCTGGGCTACTCACCCCCCAGGACCATGATCTTCTTACGAGTGTCCTCACTCAGGAAGGGTTTGATGAGGTTATAGGCCACAGGAAACAGCTTGGGGGCTGGAACAGAGACCAGGCAACGTGAGGCCAGGCCCAATGCCCACTCTGTCCCCAGCAGCGTCCTCCACAGCCCCCCGCGTCAGGCCACACGCTCCCTTTCCCATCTGCACAGTGGGGATGGTCCTCCTACCTCACCGAGTTGGGTGGCTCGAAGGAGGTAACAAATAATGGAACTTTGTGGATATAAATCGGTCTGCGTACGTCATGGGTTGGTCTTCAGAACGTGTCCTCAGACCCACCGCTCTGCCTGTGGCTCACTCTATTTCACTCTCCTGACTGTCCCAGTAGTACTTTTGGCCCCTCTTTCCCATCTGGCTTCATCACAGGTTGTTCCCGACTTACCTTTAACAATAAAAAGACGCTTCAGTGTTTCGGGATAATTTTCCTCAAACATGCAGAGGAACTGTGGAAACAAAATCACTAAGTCCAGCGGGCTCGGATCTCTCGGCTTCCTCTGGCTTCCCCCGCCGCCCGGGCCTCCCGGCAGAGGGGCCCACCCCGTCTCTTCCCTCCCACCCCACGCCCATGCTGGCCCTCACCTCTCCATAGGCCTCCACAGCCGGCTTCCAGAGATGCTTGAGGCCAAGCCCCTCACAGTCGTAAATCAGGGTGATGGTCTCTATCTTCTTCCCTGTCTGCAGGGGACAGAGGAGCAGAAAGTCACACCAGGCTGCTCCCCCCGACCACTGCAGAAGCCCACCCCGCTTCAGGGAAAATGCTGATTATACCTCGCACCCCTGTTGCAACCAGATGTGTGCAGCGCCGGCCCTAGGATTTTCCAAATCAAGATAATTACCCCAGGTCGGAATTGTGGCCTAGACAAGTCACGCGTCCCGTCTAGATCTCCATGTTCTTATCCAGTAAACAACTGGGTGGACCGAGATTACATCTGAGGTTCCTTCTGTTCTGCAGTTTGACCTGGCGGCCTCCCTCTTCCTCTGCACCCCTGCAGGGCTCGGGCCGTGGGGCCTCGTGAGGCCCTCATCTCATAGGCACAGATGCTCTCTGTCCAACCTGAGCCCTTAGGGTGCACTCCTGTCTAATGCTTCTCTGCGTCCCCAGCCCTATGGGGCCTTGGCACACAGTCAACGTGGACGACTGTTGAAACGTCCCCAAGCGTATCACATCATTTCACTGGATCTTTACAACTGCTGAAGAGGAGGGAAGGAGACAGGACCATGGTGGCTCCGGCTTGCTCTTCAGTCTGTTTTCAGTCTAAGAGAATCAGTGTCCTCATCTTTGTTTGTATACAGGATTAGAGGGGCACAGACTGTGAGCTCATCGACACCAGTCCAGCACCCAAATACTTGTCCAAGGAGAGGGCGGTCAGGGGCAGAGATTCCACTGGTGCCCAGATACATAAGGAAATAACAATACGTAGTATGTTTCTTATGAAGCTAAATTTTATTCAATTTAAAGGACTGCCCTTTATTCTGAGTTTATGCCATCCCTGTAGTTTGGGGGGTTAATTATGGCAGTGATAGCTGGTAAGTTTTTTCTAAGTCCTCACTTGAAAAAATTAAAATTTGGCCACATATGTCAGTCTCTAAAACTGAAATTTCACTGGCCTGGGGCTTAGATCCCTGTGTGACATCCCCGCTCCTGCTTGAATGGCTCCACTGTGCTTCACTTCTTTTCGACTGTGCAGGTCCACCCACCTTTTCCGTCTGGCGGGCACACTCCCGCAGAAGCAGCTCGCAGTCCCGCATCTTGGTCCTGAGTAAGTCCTGTTTGGAGGCTGAGAGGAGCAGACCCTTGGCATCCAGCGGTCCAATGATGTCATACCAGATCGGGCAGCCGTCCAGGTCATAGCCACACATACCCCCGGACAGATACTGTTGGACCACCTGGGCCCAGACAGACAGGAGACACCTGGTCAGCAGGCCCAGGATGGCCACACCTTCCCCATGTCCAGGGCCTTCCTTGGGGTCCATCCTCCCCTGGGTGCCTGTGGATACCCACTCTGGGAACTGTGAGGGCTCACTCAACATTATCAGACCTTTCCTCTGAGGGTTCCAGTCCCGCAGTCCCAGGACCCAGACTGTGGGTCTAACAGACCTAACGTAGGGATGGGCGGGATAGTCGGTCCTCACCTCTGGAGGTTGCCAGCTCTCGATGTTGTCAACGTCCTTTTGCTTTCGGAACTCCACATGCTACAGACACACAATCAGGGCTTTAGACAAGCAGGGCCAGGGTGGTGGGGGTGGTCCTTAATAGGCATCGAGCAGTGAGCAACAGCACGAACGGACCGCCAGACCACAGGTAAGTCACGAGAAGGCAGCTGGCGGGAGCGGAAAAGAAGGAACTGCCCGTTCTCCAGGCCTCAGCAGAGCAGGTTATAGTTTTTGGCTGGCCCAGAACTATGAAAGCTCTGTGTTTCCAGGGAAGGGAATGCCCTTTGTCCCAGAGGATAAGGCAGTAGGGGTCAGGTAATACTCAGATTTTTTGTCACATAAGCCACAGGCTGTGATCAGGGTGTGAGGGGTGGATAAGTCCAAGCGCGGGGTGATTCTCGGGGGCAGGGATGAGGCAGCAGTGGGTTCGGATCTCACCTTCCGAAGCATGGCCTCGGACTTCTGCAGGTCAAAGCTTCTTGCTGTAACAGGGAAAGATGGCCAGGGTTAGGCCAGCAGCCTGGGTGCCAGGGACGGGGAGACGTCCCTGTTCCCGTGCTGGGGCCCCAGCTGACTCTTAGATCACCCCGCATGCAGAAGCTAATGTAGGGCGTTCACTGAGGGCTTCTGGAAAACCACAGCCCCGGGGCTTGCAGGGAGAGCACGTTCAGGGCAGGTCAGGGCAGCACCACAAGTTCAGGGTCAAAAAAGTTTGACCCAAGTAGATGCAGTCAGGTTAAGGGTCTTATCACCTCTCAGGGAAAGCGAACCCTGGATCCCCTTATCACAGAGCCTTCTCCTTACACAGTTAACCGCCTGCACAGTCTAACTTCCAGTCCTGCGAACTTGACCTGCAGTTCAAAGATGAACACAGTTCCCCCATAATCTGGGGCAGAGCTGGCAGAACATCCCAGCAGGAGGGAGGGAGGGATGATGAGACTTGAGTCAAACTTGCCAGGTCCTCCTCCAGGACTCACACATAACCCCCGGGAACACAGAGGGCCTTCCGCCTCCTCTGGTTCCTGGGAGGTTCCAGAACTAGAATTCACCTGGGCTAGCTCGATTTTATGCACAAACTGCAACACACTGTCCAGCTCAGGCTCAAACACAAAGATTTCCCTGTCCCCCAACGCCACCTGCTCCCAGACAATCTGAGTTGCCATTTGCACTCAGCCCTCGTTGTACTGAGCCAAGACCCTCTCAGGAGACACGCAGAGAGGAGAAGGGCTTCCTCAGCCACGTGACCACCTTGCCACTCTAAGTCCCCGCTGTTACACAGCCCACCACAGACATCATCAGCCATCCTTCACAGCTTGGTTTCAAGTCCACGCAGACAACTTCCCTTTGGATGTTTTCCAGTTTGCCACCGCCTCTCGAGTGTGCGGTCCAGAGCACAGGTGTTGTCTACCCTTCAATTAAATGCAAGAACTTTTTTGGTAATGGGCCAGACCCTTAACTCGGGTGACACAGTCAACTGAAACCCCCAAATCCTTTCCACCTGTGCTGCTGCGTGGGCTCTCTCCCAGATGCCATGAGGTGGTTTTCTGGATCTACCCCTGTCAGATTCCACCTTGTTACAGTCAGCTGCATTTCATCTCTTAGAGACTTCCTGAGATCCAGATTGTGACCAATTTTGCCATCAGACCTATAAACTGTCCCTCCCAGCTGTTCATCCTCTGTGGATCAGACACCCAGATCTGCTGACAGCTCTGGAACCTGGGCCAGACAGGCTGCCCTCTGGACTGTCACCGGTTCTTAATCACTGCTCTCCGGGAGCGGCCAAGCGCATTCCCTGACTCTGCTATCATGAAAAGCAGCCCACTCTCCTGTGTCCAAAGGGTGAATTGAGATTTGACCAATGCCACGCCCACTGTGGGTGCTAGACACACGTTTGCAGAAATGAGCAGCCTTCTGTCCTGGGGAGTACCTTCTGACGGCCACACCTCATGTGCCATGGTGGCAGCAGGGGACAGCTTTCAGAGGAATATAATCTGGTTATGCATCTCAGCCTTCCCACTTTCTCCCTGTTTGACCTTGGACAAGATACTGCACATCTCTGGTCAGATCATCTAATGAGCTAGAAACACTTGGAAGATGTAGGGCACCATGCTATGATGATGCAGGAGCCCATCTGGACCTGAAAGCGGGAATCTTCCACAGGAGGGTCATCCCCAACTGTGAGGAGTCATCTTCCTAGGGAACAAGTGTGGTGGTGAACTGTGAGCCCCCTTATCTCAGGGAAGCTCTCCAGTTGACCCTTATCTGCTGGAGTCCAACATCCAGGGTTCTCCAGGGCCCTCCCTGAGTTACCACTGCCCCCGGCAGTACCAGCCTGATGCCTCCCAAGGCCTGCTGAGTCAGACTTCTCCAGGGCTCCTGCCACCCTGGTCAGGGGCAGCTCGAAGCATGACTTAGGGCACTGCCAGAGAAGCCGGCCTGAGAGCAGCTGTCCTGGGTTCTTATTTGATCGCTTTCTAGTCCTGGAAAAGGAGACTCAGTCCTGCTCTGCCCTGCTCACAGGGTTTCCTGCACCTCCTTGTCTTATTCTCCCATCTGACCCTCCTTGCTGAGCTGCCAAGACTCAAGCACAGTCAGGGGGAGGCAGCAGAGATTTGTGGGGCTGCTCTCAGGCCTGGGGACCACAGAAGACTGAGCCCATGTTGGGGAAGGAGGAAGGGAGGAACCCAGAGCTCACTCACACCTACGTTAGAGGAAGACGTTGGGCATGTGCCTTGCAAATGTTTTCTTTAGAAAGAAAAGGTTTCTTAAAAAAAAAAAAAAGGAAAAAGAAAAAGGGAAAAAACCAAGCAAGCAAAGCAAGGCAACAAAAACCCTAATTGAAATTCACAGTAGAGCGTGACCAGGCCTGAGCTCCTGCCCAGGGAAATGTGAGGCACAAATTAAGAGATACCTCCTCTGCTGGAAGAGGCAGGGCTTGGCTTTGGGGGGTAGTGGGGGCTTTCTGGAGAGGACGCTGGCCTGGGAAGCAGGGGCCCTGGGTTTCTGCCTGATTCTGCTTCGCATTAGCTGTGTGCCCTCAGGTAAGTGCCCTCCCCTGTCTGAGCCTCAGTTTTCTCATCTGGCAAATGAGGATGACCACACTCTTCCACATGCCTGCAAAGAGAGGGGTTATCCCAGGACTGGGGAGTTGGTGGTGCCCGATAAACCAACTGCCAGGGCCCCGGGCTGGCCTTCTCTTAGATAAGAGAGAGCTGCAATGTTATTCAGTTCAGCAGCTCTCTGAAACCACACTTCCCCCCCAACAGTAGCCGAGGAGTTTACCTGATCATCTTGCGGCTGGCCCTTTAATGCAGCGCAGTCTTCCCACTCTCCCCACCCACCCGCTTCTAGCCAAAATATCCTCCAGCTCTGGACAGACTCCACAGCCGCCCCCTCGCTGCCCCTCCACCCTCTCTGAGTGGGCAGAAGTGTGTGTGGGGGGGTCACAGCTTTTTGGGAGGAAAAGGGCAAGTGGCACCTCCAGAGGCACACAGGGCCCCACGTGGCTCTCCTAGTAGCATCTGACCTGGGGCATCTGCTGGCAGCCTCTCAAGACCCTGACAGCGCTACTCAGTTCCTGGACAGAAAAGGAAAATACATCACCTCACCTGTCCCAAGACTCCGAGGGTATGTATGTGTGTGTCTGAGTCTGTAAACAGTCAGCCATGATTTGTACTTTAGCATTTGGGACTATGATTCTATATCATGATTTAACCTCTGCTAATCTAACACAGAGGAGGAATCTTCTCTATTATTTCTATGTCTGGCAATAAAGTGTCCAGAAAGAAAAAAAAAAGTATGTCACAAGAACTGGAGAGGGTGGCACGTGACTTGAATCCCAGGAGAGAAGAGAGAAAAGATAGGGAAGATTTCAGGAGTTGGGGCATGGGGTTGAGTTTGACCCTGATGCCAGTACAGATATGTACACTTCATCACCATGGGCACAGCTCTGTCATGTCCCATCTCGCCATAGACAGGGCACCCTGTCTCATCCTGCTCTCCCAGAGAGGAGCCTAAGACAGATGTTCACTCCTGGCCCAGGTACCAGAGGCAGGCCAGGGCAGAGCTGGAATAGAAGTCTGGGCTCTGAAGCCAGATGGTGGCTTGAGAGGAGTTTCGCTACCTAGGTCGGGCCGAACCCCCGGCTCCCCGTGTTCTCCAGGCACTCTGTGCCTCCTTCAAGCAGCCTGAACTGCTGGCAGCAGGCGGCCTGCCCTCCCAACAGGCCACAGAGGGGCCCTGCCTCTCCCAGGTGCCAAGACTCTTGCTTCTAGGCTTGGCTCTGCCTCCAACTTCCCACAAGCCTGGAGCCTTTCTCGGCTTTTCCTCAAGCCATGCCCCGCGTCCATTAGCAGAGTGGATTTATCGAGTGGATGGAAAGGGCACTGGCTGGGAGTCAGCTGAGCAGGGCTCTAGTCCTTCTCTGCCGGCAGTGCAACACTGTGTGACTTGGGGCAAGTTACTTTACCTCTCTGAGCCTCAGTATTGTTATCTATCCTACAGGAGGGTTGAGATTGTATAATGGCCAAGAACTCTTTTGGTTCTACAGGTTGAATACTCCAGGTTCTGAGACTGCCAGGGGAAGGGTTTCCAGAGGGTACCATTCTGTTACCCAGAACAGGCGAGCAGTCCCTGCCCCAGAACAAGCCTCCCACAGCCCCTCTTCCCTTACCTCGGAGCCAGCGCAGGAGAAAATAGTCATCTGGATTCGGCAGGGTCGGCAGCACATCCTGGACATTCTCCCGAAACTGTAGGGAGAGGCAGTGGGGTGAGTGGCAGGTCCCACCCTGACCACCCTCTGCCCGGGACTCTCATAGGAGCCTTTGCCAGACCCCTGCTCAACATGGGTCAACTCTGCCAAAACTGGCTGAGCCCCTGCGCTGCACAGGACCCTCTGTCTGTCGTGCTGCGGGGTGCTGGGTAGCAGGAGGAAGTGGGAAGGAAGTAAGACACTGCCCCTGCCTGGCTGTGCGCACTGACACACTCTGGAGTGATGGGTGGACAGATAGTCTGGTATGTGCTACAGTAAAATCTTCAGGTTTTTAGTCAGTTTACCAAGCATTCCTCGTGTGCCCAGCACTGAACTTGGCACTTCTTCACTCCTCACTCAGAGTCTCTAGGGGTATGACTGCTCCCATTTTACAGGTGAAGGAATCAGAGCTCAGAGAGGCTAAGTAACATGCCCAAAGTCAAACAGCTAGTAAGCAGCAGAGCTGGGATGCAAACCTGGGTCTGTCCCAGGCCACAGCATGCACTTCCCACGTGGTATTCTGCCCCTTTAGTAATGGAATGGTGGGCACTGTGCCCGGGGACCAGAGGGAAGGAAGAGCTTGATTCTGGCTGGGGCCAGGAAGAGGGTGGTCTCATATGACTTTATATTAAAAAATGGCATTTGACTGGGTTTGAAGGGCTCTAAAGGCAGCAGGGAAGGGAAGGAGGCAGTCCAAGTGGAGGGAACAGCTCCAGCCAGAAGCCCTGAAGGGGGAAGGTGCAAGGAGTGCCAAACAAGAGGTGGACAGTGACCCCAAGGATGGCCACGCCCACCTCCAACTGCTGGCTACCCAGTAGGTGAGCGCACCCCAACGTGTCCTCCCCAAGCCTCCTGCTCCCAGCCACTCACCTTTCCCTAGTCACTGACCCTGCGGGGCAGCCTCAGACAGGACCAATGGGAACCCGCCACCTCTGCCCCTTGCCTAGGTCAGCCAGGGACTCAAATCATCCAATCTCCCAAACAGCTCCCAGACCCCCAGGGAAACTGGCGTGAAGCCACCTCTCACCAAGGACCCTAGCCAGCCCCCGGTTTCTAGTTTAATCACCACCTAATCCCTTCTCTGCCTGACTTCCCCTGCAGGTCAGCAGTAAAATCTGAAACCTCCCTATCCAGCCTCCCTGGGATGGGGAGGCCCAGCCTGGGGCAAAGCCTTCACAGGGCTGGTGCCTCCGTCCCACTGCATAGCAGGAGACATCTGCCCCCACCCCTTCCCAGCTGTGGAGCCTCCAAACCTTGAGACTGGACTCAGTTGGCTCCAGCTCAGAGAACAGCAACCTCTCCTCTCCCCAAGGGCATCAGAGGAGATCCAGGTGGCAGGGAGAGGGCTGGGCTCTGGAACTATTGCCCCCTCCTCTGCCCAGGCGACAAGGCAAAGCCAGGCTTACATCCTTGCCTTCTGGAGAGCAGCATCAGCCCAAGTCCCCAGGCAGGGAGGGGCCTGGGTTGCAGGACAGGGGAAGACTGGTCTCAGCTCAAACTAACCCCAACCCATCGAGTCACCCGCAGGATCCCAGGCTTCGCACTTGAAGGTACCCCTTCAACATCATCTGGCCCAGTCTCCTCAATTCATTTCCTCAAGGAGCAAACGGAGAAGGACCGGTTTTGCCCAAGGTCGCAGGGAGCCATCCAAGTCTCCCAAGGAGCCCTCTGGGCCCTCCCCATCGCGCCCCTGCAAGAGGAAAACCTCCCGGAAATGGGAGGAAAACTGGGGCCCTGCTCCTGCCCCTGCCCCTGCCCCCAGGGCCCGGCTGAGAGCCCGGGGGATGAACGTCGCTTTTGTGCCCTCAGCTGCCTCCGTGGGCTTCCAAGCAACCGCTTCCTCCCAGGTGGCAGCGCCAAGGGCTCGCTCGGGACTGGGGCCGGGGCGGCCAAACTTCCCCGGGGCC